GGAAAACTCAAGCTGTTACAAAGTGTGATAGCAGTAATATTGGTCATCGTTTGTCTCAGAAACAGATGGCAAATTAGAGAGGTTAAAGAAAGAGAAATGCACACCCATCAGATTGGCTAATATGACAGAAAAGGAAAATGATAAATGCTGGAGAAGATATGGGAAAATTGGGACACTAATGCATTGTCGGTGGAGTTGTGAACTGATCCAACCATTCTAGAGAACAATTTAGAACTACGCCCAAAGGGGTATAAGACTGTTGCATACCCTTTAATCCAGCAATACCACTACTAGGTCTATATCCCAAACAGATCATAAAAAAGGGAAAAGGACTCACATGTGCAAGAATATTTATAGTAATTCTTTTTGTAGTGGCAAAGAATTGGAAATTGAGGGGATGTCCATCAATTGGGGAATGGGTGAACAAATTGCGATATGTGAATGTAACAGAATTACTATTGTTCTATAAGAAATGATGAGCAGGCAGATTTCAGAAAAACCTGGATAGACTTACATGAACTGATGCTGAGTGAAGTAAGCAGAACCAGGAGAACATTGTACCCAGTAACAGCCGCATTATGCAATGATCAGCTATGACAGACTTAGCCCTTCTCAGCACTACAGTGATCTAAGACATCTCCAAAAGACTCATGACAGAAATGCTGCCCACACTCAGAGAAAGACCTACAGAGTCTGAATGCAGGTCGAAGCAGACTATTTTCTCTTTTTCTTCTTTCTCATGGTTTTTCCCTTTTGTTCTGATCCTTCTTTCACAACATGATTAACATGGAAATACGTCAAATAAGATTGTACATGTACAGCCTATATCAGATTGCTTGCTGTCTTGGGGAGGTGGAGGGGAGGGAGGGAGGGAGAAAAATATCTGGAACTCAAAATGTTGAAAACTATGTTTACATGTAATTGGAAAAAATAAAATACTGTTAAGTGGGGGGAAACAGAAAGAACTATGGAGTCTGAATGTAGATCGACGCAGACTATTTTCACTTTTTTTGTTTTTGGTTTTTTCTTTCTCGTGGTTTTTCCCTTTTGTTCTGATCCTTCTTTCACAACATGAGTAATGTAGAAATATGTTTAACATGACTGTACATGTATAACCTATATCAGATTGTCTGCTATCTTGGGGAGGGAGGAGGGAAGGGAGGAAGGGGGAAAATTTGAAGCTCAAAATCTTATAAAAATGAATATTGAAAATTATCTTTACCTGTAATTTGGAAAAAATAAGATACTATTAAGTGGGAAAAAAAAGAAATTAAGTGACGGTCAAGATCACATGCCTAGTAAATCACAGAGTTAGGATTCAGACCCAATTCTTTTAATTTCAAGTCAAATGCTCTTTCTACCATCTTTCCTCATGAAATCTTTTATTTCATCCATTTTCTTCTCTATAAAGGTTTCTCTGACCATATGAAAGTGATCTCTTCTTTCTCAGTTTTTCATATGCTGCCTTGTGTATCTGGCATGTTTTATATTTGTCTACATGTCATATTTTCCTTCTTAGAATGTAAGTATCTTGAGGGCAGGGACTATGTTTAATAGTAGTAGCAATAATAATAATAATGATAATAATGTATCCATAGTCTAGCATAGTGAAAAGAAAGGAAGAAAGAGAGAGGAAGGAAGGAAGGAAGGAAGGAACGAAGGAAGGAACGAAGGAAGGAATGAAGGAAGGAAGGAAGGAAGGAAGGAAGGAAGGAAGGGAGGAAGGGAAGAAAGGAGGGAAGAAGGGAGGGAGGGAGGAAAGAAAAAAGAAAGAAAGAAAGAAAGAAAGAAAGAAAGAAAGAAAGAAAGAAAGAAAGAAAGAAAGAAAGAAAGAAAGAAGAGAAACTCATAATGAATGGATAGCACTTTAGAGTTATATTGTATTCACACCTCTGAAGTCCTGCTCTGAGACCTCATTCTGGTAGAGAGGTGACCCCAGACACAGTTCAAAGACTGAGACAGTAGAATGCAAGCTTTAGCAGGTCATAAGATCTTGGGATCACAGATTTAGAGCTGTCAGGGACCTTAGAAGCTACCAAGTTCAACCCCAGTTTACAGATGGGGAAACTGAGGCACAGAACCTGTGCAACTCTTATATAATCATAGGATCACAGATCTAGAGCTGGAAGGGACCTTGTAGGCCATCAGGTTCAACCCCTTCATTTTACAGGTGACTAAACTGAGGCACAGAGGAGTAGGTGACTTGCCCAAGGTCATGCAATGAGAAGATGTCTGATACGGGCCTGATTATAAACCAGTACAATAGTGTTAAAGATTGCCTTTGCTTTTAATGAGAGGAGACCAGCAGAGCTTTGATTTTCCCAGTTTGGATACAGGAAGAACTGGTATTTCCTGAAGAGTATGCTTGGTTACAAGACTCCCAGTGTGCCATGCATCAGGCAGAAGGCCTGGATATGAAGAGGACGGAGGCCAAACGGAGCCAGCGATTGTCCGTTTCCACGCCAGGAATCCCAGAGTTCCCTGGGTTTCTTTAGTAACTTTCTATGTGTGACTGATGTCACCCTTTATCCTTGGGTTGGGGAGACAGGTTAATGAAGAGCAAAAAGTATTGTTCACATACTGTGGGCCACGTGGTTAGTTATTATAACAAATGTTACTAATAAGCATTCAATTTATTGATTACTACTGACATAAGTAAGCATTCAATACTAATAATAGCAAAAACATCACTATGACTCTGGATTTAACATAACTACTCAAAGCTTAATATGCTTTCAACACATGCAATGCCATCACTTAAACCCATTAAACCAGGGGGTTTTACCCTAGGGTCTGTGAACTTGTTTTAATACTTTTATAACTGTATTTCAATATAACTGGCTTCCTTTGTAATCCTATGTTTTATTTTGTGAATTTAAGAACATAATTCTGAGGAGCCCACAGGATTTCCTGACTGCCAGAGGGGTCCATGACAAAAAGAAAAGTTAAAATCCTCAGTCAGAAGGTAGGTTCCTTGCGAGCAGTAAATGTCTCATGTTTTGATTTGTATCCCCAGAGCAGGCACTCGATAAATACTGTTGATTGACTGATTGGTTAATCAGCTGATCTTCATGATATCCCTTGGAGAAAGAAACAGACATTTTTACAGTGACTCTTCTTTATTCCTAAGGAAGTATTCTAAACTTTCTGTGAAAACCCTCAGAACTCGGAAAAGAGAGGAAGAGGAAAAGAGAGGAGAGGAGGAAGGAGTTCCCATAGCCACACTTTCTCCTTCCCCCCCCCCCTTTTCCTTGGTTTTATTTCTTTTCTCTCTTCCAAAGAGAAGAGGGATAGTAATTAGATGAGAAAGACATTAGGCAGAACTGACGACCTTAAATGGATTACCTTGAGGCTAGTGGGGATAGGCCTAAACTAGAAGAATCTCACATTTTCAGCCTTTCAAACTAGTCTCTGCATCAAATCAGGCCCTAGGCAATCTGAAAACTAGAACTCAGACAAGTTTTTATTTAATTAAAGTCATTTCTCCATAAAGATGAATGAGGTTTAATGGGTGGAAGAAAGATTTACATTTTAAATGATCCAGCACCTCATACCCTAAATAAATCTACATTAGTGGAATGTATGGAGGTGATGTTTTTGAACTGGGATAGTCTAACAGATTCTTTTTGCCCAAATCTAGTCCCTTTGCAGCCTTTCCCTTCTCCTATCCTATTCCCTAGTCTGCCAGGGTGAAAAAACACATGGAATTGGCACTAAGGGCAAAATTCACCCACTGAGTGAATACCATTGCATGCCTATGAACTATTATGTAAAGTGGCTATGGAGCCAGAGGTCCTATACACCAACAGCCTATCACAGTAAACCCAAACTCAATGGATGATATTTTAGGAATTGTTTGGGTTTAAAATAAAGAAATGAACCCCTATTTTTTTTTCTTAAAAAAAAAAACCACTCTGGAACAAGACCTACATGCTAATTCCTGGCCACTTTCACACCAAGCCCCTTTGACACTGGATATCATCTTCACTCTCCTCCCCACCCAATAGAACCTAAAAGGACCATGAGACCAAATAATGATTCATGGCTTGGGGAAAGAGTTTTTAGACTCAGTTAACAAATGTTTGAAAACCATTAGTAAAAATCTCAAATATTCAGTGCAGAAGGCCATGGGCATTTCCACTTCATAGATGGATAAAGGAAGGCACAGAGGTGTTAAATGGGTAACTTATCTGAAGGAAAACTACGGTTTTTGCTGGGCAAAATATAGTACAAAAGCTATATTCTGTGTCAAACTGACAGATCTGCATAATAAAGATCAGAATTTCGGCTAAATAGATGGAGAACACTTAGTCTGCATCCTTTGCAACCAAGCCATCGGGGATATTGGGAGTAGAAAAAGAGTGTGAAGAGCTCAGTTAAACAGTTCCCTTTAACAGCAGGTTTTGAGCTCTCAAAGTTAGAAAAGGAAATATCTAATCTTTCCCTGAGGTTACTCCATGTGCTTTTTGTCAGCTGAGAGTGGTCGCTAGGACTGAAGAGCTTGCTGGCCTGACTTTATTGAGGAGAAGTTTTAGCCATAATACCCTAGCTGAATGAAGTTGAGAGAGCTTGGTTGACCTCAAAGAGATGAGCCCAGAAGGTGGTAGCAAGAGAAAGGCTCAGAAGAGACACTGCGTTAAGCAAAAAGCAGGCCCAATGACCCATCAGACAAATGTGATGAGTACAGATACCACACCCAGTGAACCCAGAAGAACAACGCAACTGAGATACCTAAATCTAAGAAGAGCAGCATTAGGAATCATTGGAAGACATTAAGAGTTCTACATAATCAGAGATGGCAGTTGGGTCTCCACACATATTTCCCATGTGTGGGCACTTTATGTATGATCCCTATGCAAGCTCATCCTTCTACAGGTTTGGCACCCATGTTTTCAAGATGGCTTCGTTTGAGGAGCGTTCTCCAGCAGGACGATTCCAGTCTGGTTTCCAACAGAGAAGAAATGCCCTCATCAGACTACAGAATTAGCTCAAAGCCTTACCTCACAGTACTCGGTAACGATGCAGAAATTATCTCGTTCCACAAAGCTGGCATGAAACTTGACGATGGCTGGGTGGTCAAGTTTAGACAGGAGCTGTGCTTCCAAGTTTGCCTGAACTGTTTCATTGGGCTTCAGGTCTCCCACAGATATTTCTTTCAAAACCTTTCTGCAGTGAAGGAGAGAAGAGAACAGGATAGGATGGCTTAAGGGAATGGAATCAGAATCTATCACACTGTAAAATTTGCTGGCCATCCCAGTGCTTCCAATCCTATGCAAATCAGAGGCAAGGATCACCTGCACAACCCCACATGTGTAGACCAAGGGATTTTCAGGAGGTGACTAAATTAGAGATAGAACTATTTATGGAATTTCGAACTGATGTAATCGTTCTGGAGAGCAATTTAGATCTATGCCCAAAGGGCCATACAACTGTGCATACCCTTTGACTCAGTAATATCACTGCTAGGCATCTATCCCAAAGAAATCAAAGAAAAGGGGAAAAAACCTATTTGTACAAAAATATAGCAGCTTTTGTGGTGGCAAAGAATCGAAATTTGTGGGATGCTCATCAACTGGGGAATGGCTGAACAAGTTGTGGTATATGATTGTAATGGAATAATATCGTGCTAATAAGAAATGATGAGCAGGATGATTTCAGAAAAACTTGCCAAGACTTATATGAATTGACACAAAGTGAAGCCCCAGAACCAGGAGAACATTGTACACAGTAATAGCAATACTGTATGATGATCAACTGTGAATGACTTAGCCATTCTCAGCAATACAATGATCCAAGACAGTTCCAAGGGACTCATGATGAAATATGCTATCCACCTCCAGAGAAAGAACTGATGGAGTCTGAATGCAGATCAAAACATACTATTTTCCACTTTATTTTTGTGGAGTTTCTTTGGTCTGTGTTTTCTTTCACAATATGACTAATATGGAAATATGTTTTGCATGAATGCACATGTATAATCTGTATCAAATTACTTACTGCCTCAGGGGGAAGAGGAAGGAAAGAATCTGGAACTCAATTTTTTAAAAAATGAATGTTAAAAATTGTTTTTGCATGTAATTGGGAAAAATAAAATATTATTCATAGAAGAAAAAAATAAATTGGGAGCAGAAAACAAAAAACTTCTGTTCTAAGATCAGAGCTCACATTCAGGGTCAACAGGTAAAGACTTATTGCAGACTCTCCCAGACTCTAAACCTTGCCTGCTTGTTCCACTCTACCTTAGCTAACTTATCCAATTGCCTAATTTATCATATTTGAGCCTTTCAACTCTGTCTTCTCTGGTATCCAATTCTTTACCTGCCCACAATTGGTTCACATCTAGAATAGATACTGTCTAAATAGCTAGAGTCTCAATCTTGGCCAGTCCAGCCAGGTCCCACTATTACCAATGTTCTGTTATTATACACTGTGTCTTAGTCTATAAAATGTTGAATTACAGTACAAATAGGAAAAATCCAAGAACTGAAGAGAGAAAACTTATTTCCAAGAACCCTACCAAAATTGATTTTTATTAGCCATACAAGTCAAGAATCATGGCAGAGTCAAAGGTGACTCTAAGACAATCAATGTAATTTAGAAAGACAACTTTTCAAAAGTTAATTCTAAAGCAGATTAAGATGATAGGCCTACAAAGGATGGGTGCAGGTAATTTTTAAAATCATAATCTTGCCCTGAGATTCTGTGCTATAGGTAAGGAAAATCTACTTTTAAACCAATGCAAGTCGGATTCTCTACCTAATGTCAGTGGAACCCACTTCCATCAAACACTCAGCCTCTACTGAAAAAGGTAACAGAAGAACTAGACATTTTATAAGAGATCCTGGCATGTGATTGTCAAGTCAACAAGCATTTATTAAGCGCCTACCATGTACCAGGCACTGTGCTAAGTGCTGGGGGAATGTACAGGAAATAAAATAGCACTAACTCTGGCTGCTCTCATGAGGATCTTAAATCTAAAACCAAAAAGAAGCTAGTGGAAGTCATCTGGTCCATCTTCTCCCTGTCCGTATTCCCTCCATTACCCTATTATAGATGAGGCAACCAAGTCACGGAATCACATAGGAAGCAGAGCCACGGTTCTAAACCAGGTCCTATTACTCTAAGTTCAGAAATTCCACAGGAAGAGAAGGGGAAATCATTTTTCCACTCTGATCACATAAGATGTCCCCCACAAAGTCCAAACATATAGATGATGGATTCCCTAGTCACTCTGAAGGTTTCCCAATGTTCCTGTTTGCCATAGAGATTGTGCTAATTGCAAAGAATGGCAGAAACACTACAAAGTCTCCCTGGTGAAACTCACAATAATCTGAAGTTAGTTTAAAGAGTCGTGCTTGGAAAAAAAAGTCAATAAATTCCTCAAAGATCTGTGATTTTACCAGCCCAGGCACTCCCTCCACTGAGAAAGATCATAAGTCCAACTACAGGCTTTAGTAGTTAGATGGTCTTTGTTGAATTCCTGTTACCAAAAACTCATCACTCTACAGACAGACTGCTTGGTGATAGACCTCATCTTCTTTAGTGTCAATAAAACCATATCTGTTTCTGATATAGAACCATCTGATAATGAAAGGAGAACTTAGCACAACAGGAGCCAAGTAGACAATTATAGGTTGGCTCTCAATCAGGGGCTCAGCTGTTATTGAGGCTACCAAAGGCAAATCAGTCCTAATAAATTCAAAGAAACTCCTCATAGACCAAAGCAGGGATATTAAATGAAACTCTTCATAAAGTGGAATGGGCATGTCTTGGGGTGTGGCTATATTTCATTTGTATCTTTGTGCCCCCAGTATCTGGCAGGGCAATTTGCATCTATGCAAATGGATCTGGGACCCGACTTAGGTGGAAGTTCCCACCGCCTCTTCAGATCACACCCTGAGCAACTCTTGTCCATTCCCTTCCGTAAGCTCAGGACTGGGGCTGCACCCAGTGTGCTAAGATACCTTCCTCCATTTCTCCTGGAACCTTAAGAACGCCAGGAAAGGCCCCATCTATCATCCCGTTACCTAGCTCTGGCCCTAGGAGAAGCATGTTTTCTTTATCATTCAGACACCATTCTAGTGCATCTTTGAAGTTCTTATGTTAAGTGTTAAAGCCTGGTTATATCCAAAAATCTGCCTCTCCACTGCCCTCTGTAGGATACTTTTTTAATTCTTCAGAGATTTCCCTTCTTCCGTGGTTCATAGTTAGACAACAATCCCAGCAGAATGCTGGCATTAAAAAGATGGGCCTTCCACCTCCTCCCTTCCTGCTTCTTTGTAGAGGTGAGATAAGGTAGAGTGTCTATGAGTGCAGAACATCACATATAATGGCAGACTTTTTCATTATGTCAATTAGTTTTGAGGAACCCATTTCTTTTGTTGTTTCTTTGTTTATTTTATTGTTTCTTAATTGTTTTATTATGTCTATTCTTTTATTTGAGAAACTCTCCCTTTTGTTCTTTGCTATGAGAGACAGCTCTCTGGGACTCAGAGTGGAAGGAAGGAGGTTTTGTGAAATGTAGATGCCATAAAACCAAAACATATCAGTAACATTTTATTTTTCAAAAATAATAAGAGGGGGGAATTTGCTTCTCGGGGGAGTTTGGGGTCATTAGAGGGGCCATACAATTTCCTGAAGGCAGTCTTCCCCCTCCCGATTAATCAGAGACCCAACTCCCACTTGTCCAACCTAACATATAGTAATAAGTGTTTGTTGAACAGAATTGAATTCTTTCTTTCTATGGCAGCTAACAAGGGATACCTTTTGCTTCCTGGGAGTGAAATGGGTTCTAAAGCAGTGCTCATTTAGCTAGGGGTGATCCTCAAGGGGAGAGATATACAGTCCATTGTTATTTTTGTACTTGAAGCCTTTCCATTCTACAGAAAGGATGTTCAACCAAGAAACTGGGTAAAATGATAAGATGTTGATTTTGATTATTATCTGGAGGGTTGTAAATATACAAAATGGAGCCTGTAATCATCGTATCTCTTGCTATATATTTATTTACATAATTACGATTTTCAGTAACTACTTGTGAAGCAAAAGTAACATCTTCATATTGTTCTTATTCGTCTCCAAGTAATTGGCCATCCATTGTTGCACAGCTGTAAAAGTCACGATAGCTAAACATAACAATACAAAACCTTTTACAAGCTAAAGACACTCTCCTGACATTCAGGAACAAACATAATAAAACCCCGTATGATAGCTTCCTCCCAAACATCAATTACTGAGTAACAGACCATGAATTTTTACATATCGTTGCCTGAATCTGTCTGGCAGTCTGATGATAAAGCATAAATTCAGATTTGTTCTCAGCTTTTCAGATTGGGTTAGTGCCATCAAGACCGGTGACATCTGCTGTAATTCTTTCCGGCGAACACCGGAGCAGTCTGCCTTCCTCCTCACAAAGCATGTCACTTTACTGAGCTGACAGTCAGTGTCCTCAGTTATAGATCACTTCATATTAGATGCTCAGAAGCCAAAGACAGTAATAAAAACTCGACATGTCAAGGATAGTTTGTCATTGGCTTGTGACTAATCTTTGGTAACACAACAAATATTGATCAAAAATGCAACTGCTTGGGAGAAACTGTATGCCAACGGTAACACTGGACCTCTAGACAGACACACTTGGACCATGGAGCATTGTATACTTCTTCTTTCTTTTCTGATTAAGAAAAAAAAAAGATGTCTAGCTTTGCTCCAATACCCTAGCTTTTCTTTTTGAAAGTGGCAAGATTACTTAAATTCTATAAAGTACTTCGGAAATCTATGAATTGTGAATTTTTCTTCTTTGAAATCCAGTTCCTCATTTGAAACCCACATTATCAGCACATGCTAGGTGCTTAAATATTGATCATTGTTTATTGCTTATTGATTAACGTCTGATATCACCACCATCAATCTACAAGCATTTATTAAGCACTGGCTGTGGGCCAGGTACTGTGCTCATTATCATGATGAATCAAACAGAATTTATTAATTGCCTCATATCTGCCAGGTACAGATGCTTATAATGGTCATCATCACTGATCAACCAGCATCTAGTGAGTGCCTACTGTGGTACTGTTGTCACATCCATCATCATCATCACTGATCAACAATTGATTAGGAACTTTGTTGTTACTGTCCAGTCATTTCAGTCACATTCCACTCTTCAT